TCACGATCACGAACTATTTTGGTCAGAGGTTTGGAATGTTTTCTATGTAAGAAATGAGAGCTACTTGGTCCTATTTATAGGGTTAAGCAAGCAGGTAGGCACAGTAGGACGGTCAGAAGTGTATGTCGTGATTCCCGATAAATCATTGTACACGGTCGCGATACCTCGTGCTTGCGGATTTATCGTGCTTGTAGATTTATCGTGCTTGCGGATTTGTCGTGCTTGTGGATTTATCGTGTTTCCGATGACTCGTCACACAATATCGCGACACCTCGTGCATACGGGATTTGTCGTGCTTCCGATTTGTCGTGCTTGCGGATTTATCGTGCTTCCGATGACTCATCACACAAGATCGTGACACCTCGTGCTTACAGAATTTGTCGTGCTTCTGATTTATCGTGTTTGTAGATTTGTCGTGCTTGCGGATTCCAAGCACGTTAATCCCGAGCGGCTGTGTCGTGCTTCCGCAAACTTTTATATTTTTGTAAAAATATCAAGTTTGAAAGCACCTTGCCACCTTATGCTTTTCGTCACGTCGTGTTTCGGGCCACCTCGTGCTTAAAATCCCGTCATGTTTGATAATTTTTCTTTCATCAACTAGGTCGTGACTCGATCATCTCCCGTAACTATTTTGATCTCTTAACAAGGTCATTACAACGTCCCATGTCACGGAGAAGCTCCAGGTTTTCTTGACAAGATATCTCTTCCAATTATCGGCTTATCACATTTGGAGAGAGCGGAATAGTCACCGACACGGAGAACTACCGCACTCTTCCACAACTCGTAAGAAATATCGATAAGGATATGCGCAATCGACTAAGCTCGATCCGGAATGCTGGAGATCACACCTATGATGACAGTCTTAGGGAGTGGTTTCGCCTTACATAGAACTCGAGGATATAATTAGTTAATCTAAATCAGTTCCTTAACAATGATGCATTTTTGTAAAAAAAGGTTTTTTGGTGTGGATAAGATTTAACATTCATTTCAAAAAAAAAAAAAAT